AATGTGTTCTGTGCTGGCTGCATTAACCCTGAAGTGTCTGACAATGGATCAATGGATCACAAGTGTACAATCCCAACGCACACGTTCCTGCATTAAAAATGGCTGTGTATATAAGTGGGTGCTGCAGCGACCGTTAGCTAGAACCCAACAGAATCAGCCTGATAAAGGGGTCCTGTGAGACTCTGAATTGTTGCCTTGCTGTAACTCTGATCATTCATTAAAACTTGTGGACCCATATTGGTGATCCTCGGTGTGCTGATGACATTCTCCCTAGCTGACAATGGATCACCTCTCTAGAAATTAAGGCAGACTGTCACAGCTGCTTTGAGGTTTATTATATCTTCACTCCAGGCAGAGATAAAAGATGCAAATGAATGTGTCTCTGTAATCATTAAAGGCTATTCACACTTGTATGTTGTGGCAGCACATGCTAACACACATGCATTAACGCATGTTACCACAGTGCAAAGCAACTCGCCTGCTCTATGCAGTGCATTGTAGTGCCATTCATTGTAGGAATCCCAACGCATTGTACATTACTGCCCAGTGCACACTGCTGTGTGTTTTGTGGTGTTCAGTGTATTTAAAAAAGGGGTCATGCATGTTTTCATCCATTATAGTGCATTGGGAACCAATTCAAAATAAGTGCCCTTATTGTAGCACACATTAACGCATGCCACATTGTGTGAACATGTTATGCATTAATGACCTTCAGCCTACCCTCCCTCCATTTTTTTTCTCTATCTCCCCCCTCACTGGGTGGTGGTGTAGGCGCAGTTCAGATACCCACCCAGCCACTGTATCCAGCGTTGTCCCGCTGACATCCTTCTGTCAACAGACACTGCTCAGTCCTTCCCCGCTATCTTGCTTGTAATGTCATCAAGAGGCCCGCCGGTTCTTCTGGGTTCAGCTGGCGAGATCTCCTGATGATGCATTGCTTGGCCCGTCCCCCTGCTATTTGCTGAATGTAAGAGTAAAGGCCTCCTGGGATATGTGGTGTGCGTATCCCGGTAAACGCAGCGAGTACTTTGCAGGTCATTCGCCTAGGACAGGGATGAGCAACCTGTGGCTCTCCAGCTGTTGTGGAACTACATTTCCCATGAGGCATTGCAGAGACCAGAAGTTACAAGCATAACTCTACAGGTCCCATGAGACATTGCAAAACTGACAGTTACAGCTATGACTTGCAGAGGCATGATGGAATTTGTAGTCCTGCAACCTGCAACAGCTGGAGAGCCGCAGGTTGCCCACCCCTGGCCTAGAATGACATGCAGCAGAGCAAGGTCAGGATCCCTCCCCTACCAGGCAGAACTGTGCTGTGTGATATAGCTGTGTAAATCCCATGACTAGATGGACAAAAATACAAATCCTTTGGCAGGTTACAACTGCCTCTATATTCTGTGTGCAGAGCTCAAAATTTCCAGTCAGCTGCTTGCATTTGGCGGGTGGCAATAATATGGAGGCGAGTGTGTCCAGGGCTAACACCAGGATAGGAGGGGTAGTAAAATGCACCTTCCCCTGAGAATAATCCTTGCCTTGTTCTTCTAACATGGGGCTGGGGCTTGGTGCTCTTGAGGGTCCCTGATTGTGCACCGGTTGTGTGGCGGCTCCCTGCAAGACAGTGGTGTCACCACAGAGGGGCAATCCCCCACCTGCTAAATTAGGCTGTGGGGCAGACTACAGCAAGTGAAATTGACAGTCGGGGATGATCGATGTGGCAATACGGGCAATTACAAGCACTGATCTCCTTAGATCAGGGATGTGAAATTGTTGGCCCTCCAGGTGTTTCGAAACTACAAATCCCATCATGCCTCTGTCTTTGGGAGTCATGCTTGTAACTGTCAATCTTTCAATGACTCATGGGACTTGTAGTATGACACCCATGCCTTAGAGATCATGGTGGCTGCATTTGTTTCCTTTTTTTTTTTTTTTTTTTTTACACTTTCATGTTCTTGCTTTTCACCTGTCAATTCTGCCAGAATAACATTTCCTGTCCTAGGGTGACAACCATACTGTATCTGGAAGGAGAAGGGTTGTCACCCTAGGAATAAAGGGTGTTTGTACTATAAACACCTCCCCCTCTCCATAACCTAGGGGGAGGTATTTTGTAGTCAATGGAGGTAGCTGGGAACAATGCTAACAGTCTGCAGAGAATGGGACCAGTAGTATGAGTAGAGTTATCTACTTAAAAGATTTCTGGCTAGAAGAACAGAATGCTTTCAGTGGATTATTTAGCAGGCCATGAGGGAGCAAACACGAGACATTTATTGCTAGGGTGTACATACACTTTGTATATTGGAAAGAATTATTGGAACTACTACTATCAGCAATGATCAGCAATAGGTTGACTGCTATAGGTGAAGCATGGTTTGTATTTTTATTTGAAGACAAGAAAAGAAACCGACTGAAATAGTGTGTCAGTCAAGTGAATCCTGTAGTGGGTGATTCTGTAATGTAATGATGGGTTTGCTGAACTAGGATTTGGCTCATACAGAGTCATCCATTTCTGTCACTGTTCTCCAAACTTTCTAAACAAAGGCCCAGTTTACCGTCCTTCAGACTTTAGGAGGGCTGGTGAGGCCAGTGAGAGTAGAAAATGTTCCAGCATCGGTAGGAGTAAAAAAAATGACATAGTGCTTGTAGTCAGTGGAAGGAGGAATAGTGCCCCATCATTGGTATTACTGGGAGGAATTGTGTCCCATCATTGGTGTCAGTGGGATGAATAGTGCCCCATCATTGGTATTACTGGGAGGAATAGTGCCCCATCATTGGTATTACTGGGAGGAATTGTGTCCCATCATTGCTATTTCTGGGAGGAATAGTGTCCCATCATTGGTATTACTGGGAGGAATAGTTCCCCATGTCTGGTATTACTGGGAGGAATAGTTCCCCATCTTTGGTATTACTGGGAGGAATAGTTCCCCATCTCTTGTATTACTGGGAGGATAGTGCCCCATCTTTGGTATTACTGGGAGGAATAGTGCCCCATCTTTGGTATTACTGGGAGGAATAGTTCCCCATCTCTGGTATTACTGTGAGGAATAGTGCCCCATCTTTGGTATTACTGGGAGGAATTGTGTCCCATCATTGGTATTACTGGGAGGAAATGTGTCCCATCATTGGTATTACTGGGAGGAATAGTGTCCCATCATTGGTATTACTGGGAGGAATAGTTCCCCATCTCTGGTATTACTGGGAGGAATAGTTCCCCATCTTTGGTATTACTGGGAGGAATAGTTCCCCATCTCTGGTATTACTGGGAGGAATAGTTCCCCATCTCTGGTATTACTGGGAGGAATAGTGCCCCATCTTTGGTATTAGTGGAAGGAATAGTGCCCCATCTTTGGTATTAGTGGGAGGAATAGTGCCCCATCTTTGGTATTACTGGGAAGAATAGTGCCCCATCTTTGGTATTAGTGGGGGGAATAGTGTCCCATCATTGGTATTACTGGGAGGAATAGTTCCCCATCTCTGGTATTACTGGGAGGAATAGTTCCCCATCTCTGGTATTACTGGGAGGAATAGTGCCCCATCTTTGGTATTAGTGGGAGGAATAGTGCCCCATCTTTGGTATTACTGGGAAGAATAGTGCCCCATCTTTGGTATTACTGGGAGGAATAGTGCCCCATCTTTGGTATTAGTGGGAGGAATAGTGCCCCATCATTGGTATTACTGGGATGAATAGTACCCCATCTTTGGTATTACTGGGAGGAATAGTGCCCCATCTTTGGTATTACTGGGAGGAATAGTGCCCCATCTTTGGTATTAGTGGGAGGAATAGTTCCCCATATTTGGTATTACTGGGAGGAATAGTGCCCCATCTTTGGTATTAGTGGGAGGAATAGTGCCCCATCTTTGGTATTAGTGGGAGCAATAGTGCCCCATCTTTGGTAATAGTGGGAGCAATAGTGCCCCATCTTTGGTATTAGTGGGAGCAATAGTGCCCCATCTTTGGTATTACTGGGAGGAATAGTGCCCCATCTTTGGTATTACTGGGAGGAATAGTGCCCCATCTTTGGTATTACTGGGAGGAATAGTGCCCCATCTTTGGTGTTACTGGGAGGAATAGTTCCCCATCTTTGGTATTACTGGGAGGAATAGTGCCCCATCTTTGGTGTTACTGGGAGGAATAGTTCCCCATATTTGGTATTTCTGGGAGGAATAGTGCCCCATCTTTGGTATTAGTGGGAGCAATAGTGCCCCATCTTTGGTATTAGTGGGAGCAATAGTGCCCCATCTTTGGTATTAGTGGGAGCAATAGTGCCCCATCTTTGGTATTACTGGGAGGAATAGTGCCCCATCTTTGGTATTACTGGGAGGAATAGTGCCCCATCTTTGGTATTACTGGGAGGAATAGTTCCCCATCTTTGGTATTACTGGGAGGAATAGTGCCCCATCATTAGTATTACTGGGGAATAGTTCCCCATCTTTGGTATTACTGGGAGGAATAGTTCCCCATCTTTGATATTACTGGGAGGAATAGTTCCCCATCTTTGGGATTAGTGGGAGGAATATTGCCTCATCATTGGTGTCAATGGGATGAAGGGTGCCCCATCTTTGGCATCAGAGGAAGGAATAGTGCCCCATCCTTTGTATTAGCTGGAGGATTAGTACCTAATTGTATCAGTGGGAGTAGTTTTGCTCCATCATTGGTGTCTGTAGAAGGAAAAATGCCCCATAGTTGGTGCCAGTGGAAGAAATGGTGCTTCTTGTTGATATCAGTGGGAGGAGTAGTTCCCTTAGGGCCGGATAGAATCAAGCACAGGGCCGCAGTTATGAGACCACTGATTTATATCATTGAACGATCCTGCTGTTCTGTGCCAGGAGTATTACCTGTCTGTTTCTGAGAGCCCTTTGACAATGAATTTTGTAGCTGCTATCGAACTCAAATCACCGTATGACATAATGTAATGAGTGGCTAGTAAAGCTGTGGATTTTGGTTTGTGTGTGTGTGTGAGGGGTTCCTCCTTAATAATGGTGTGTGTGTTTCCCTGTTTTGTAGGCTCAGAGTCTTCAGCTGAGTAAAGAAATGACACTTGCTGGCAACCGGAGCTTGGCAGAAGCAAACCTGCTTTACCAGCCTAGGCTGGACAACCTAAAAGCCACTCTGACCCAGAAATACCAGGAGCTGCAGACTGTCATGGAATCCCATCAGCTAAAGAAGACAAAGCTGGGTAAGTTGTCATCATTGGAAAGACACACTGGTGCTGAAATTGAATTATTGCTCTTATCCTCTTCCAATTCCCCCAAATTACTTCTTTTTTGCTGCTGTGATCTGACTTCTATTAGAGGGTGGTTGCAATTGTTCTCCATGGTCACACTGTATGTAAGACACTCTCTTGCTCCCTCCCAAGATTGCCTAGGGACTATGGGATTTTGTAGTGTGTATAGAGAAGTACAGAGGACCACAGTGAACATGCACTGTTCATTCCAGACAAACAGAAGTGAGGGGGGGGGGGGGGGGGGGGGGGAAGAGGTTCTGGAGCTCACAGAGGACGTTATAAGAAGGCAGAAAAAGATTGCAGAGCCATTAGGTAGTGGGTGTGTATGGATTATTTTATACTTTTTTGATCAGGTTTTTTTGGGGGGAATTTGGTGGAATTTAATAACCACTGTTTGTTTTTGTATTTTTTTTACTATATAAAGGACAAAATGTGCCCAGGGGCGGGTTGTCGTTCATAAACGGCAGCCGCCATTTTGGACTGTGCGCGCTCCCTGGGAGCACGCAGCACCGCAATCTGGTGCGCGCTGTGTCCTTCGAACACAGTGGAACACCAATCATTGTACGGGACCTCTGTACGAGGTCCCGACTATTTTATCGCTGATTGGCCAATCAGTGATCACATGCAGAGTAGTAAGCAAGATGTCATTCTGACACCATTGCTTACTACGTGTGAAATCTGTGAATGATCACAGAGGTCACATGGTACAAGGCTATTCACAACAGCCTTGTACCATGTGACAAGCTGTGACCAATCACAGCTCACACAGTATTTCTCAGTGGCTGCAAGAATGCAGACAGAGAGAAAGAGAAATTATTGCTTTTACAGCCTGCTAAAAAAAATTCATATAGGTACAGTGTTGCATGACCGTGCAATTGTCATTCAAAGTGTGATAGCACTGAAAGCTGAAAATAGGCCTGGCAGGAAGAGGAAAGGGTCCGGACTGGAAGTGGTTAAATGTTTTTACCTTTTTCAAAAAACAAAAACAAAAAAACCCTCAATCATCATTGGTGATCTTTGGCACTGTAACTATCCCCACCTCGTCCCAAAAAAATCTCTGTGATTGGTGGACAGTGATTTTAAATCCTGGGGATAAACAATGCTTGAGCCTGTGCATTGCACCCACAGTACACTCATTGAGGTCGCAATGCTCTGAAGTCTTCTGTGTAAAAATATTTATTATATATGAATATATTTATTATTCTGTATGAAAAAGACAAACTCGCATACTCACCTAGGTGGATGCAGCATCGATCCAATGCTGCATCTGTCTCCCCGCTGGCTCTACACTGAGAACTGAGTGATCAAACACCGCTGATTGCTCAGTTCTTGGTTGTCAGTGAGTAGAGAAATGGTGACTCTTGGTCACCGCCTTCTGCCCTACCCCTCCAGCGTTCATTCGAGTGCGTGGTTGTGGGGGGGGGAGGTAGGAGCAGCTGGCGTGCTGAGAGGCTCAGTCAGCTGCCAGTCCAGGCATCTGGGTGGATCCTGAAATTAGAGTCTGGATTTCCCCAGAGCCTGGACTGTCTGACATCATCCAACAGTGGACTTTAGCCTGCTGTGAGCTGACAACGGGTCACAGGAATGCAGATTGAAGTGGATTGTTGTGATCCCCAGAAGAAGTTGGCCAAAATAACTTTACTTCTTTAAAGGCCAGTTCACACTACATGCGTTTTTACTGTGCTTTTTTTTCTGCATTCAAAACGCACAGAAAGTAGGTTATTTGGTTGTCAATGTCATAGTTCACATCAGTGCTTGCAGTTTCAGTGTGTTCCGGATGCAGAAAAAAAAGTAGAACAGGCTGCATTTTTCCTGCACAGAACTATACTGGAACGCGGTAAAACGCACATGTCCCTATTTAAATTGAAGAAAAAAGAGGGGAAGAAAACACTGGAACGTGTCAAAAATACGTATGCAGAAACGCATCTTGCCTGCATTTCTATAGTGTGAACTGGCCCTTTCTCACAGTTTCTTTGCCCTATCGATCCCAACCACTAAGTAGGTCTGGCATTGTCCGAGTACAATGTCCCAGTGGGGGATTCCTCCATTCCATTTGTGCGGATGGAAGAATCTTGGTTTCCTCCAGCTTACGGGAAGCAGAGAACTGCCATCAGGATTTTAAAACTGTTTCCCATTGGGGTAGATTTTATCATCCAGTACATGAAGTGACAGAACACAGGCAGCAATAAAACCTGTTCCATTTTCTTTCTAAGACCCTCTAAAAATTGTCTAGAGTTAAGCTTTAGGACCCACGTACAATGCGTTACATGAACACACACAGAAGGCAGAGCCTGCATACGTACTGATTGTACATCTATTGACCAGATTTATATGAAACTGATCACCTGTACATCGACAAAGAAGTGTATGTTGGAGAGAGTGGAGGATGATTGGACCCTCTTTCCATGTTTTGTATTTCAGTCTTTATTATATCTGGGACAACACTGCCTCTGTTTGTCCTGTTGACCATTGTTACTGTTAGAGTTGTCATGAGAACAAAAACCTTTTCTGTGACAACTCTAAGATGGGAATTCCTCTTACTTTTGGGAGATTCTCTCACATTCTGTTGCGTCCCCAGGGCAGGTAGTGGAGGAAATTCTCCCCAGCTGGATACAGGTATTTTGACAGGTTTAACCCTTCTCTACTCTGCCCAAAAACGAAAAAGAAAAAAAAACTGATATAAATATACTTTAACCACTTGCCAGCCGTCCCTTAGCAGATGTACTGCTACAGGGTGTTTTCGCTGGGCAAAATCACGTAAATATACATTATTTTTTCAGTTCCGGGTAGGGGGCGTGTGCTCCGCCCTACCCGTGTTGCTATTGGCTCCTGAGAATCTCAATCACTGGGTCCCGGGCCAGCGATTTTCGGCTGGGTAGCGGTGATTGTCGGCAAAGCTGAGAGGGGAGAGACCTATGTGTAAATAACAGATCTCTCTCTCCTGTCAGCATGGATGTGCTGCACAGCAGAGAGATAGAAAGCAGCTGATCTGCTTAGTAAAACACAACACAGTACACAATAAAAACACTCCCTAACACACAGTTAACCCTTTGATTGCCCCAGATGTTAACCCCTTCCTGCCCAGTGTCATTAGTATAGTGTCAGTGCTTTTTATTAGCACTGATCCCTGTATTAGTTTCACTGGGGATATCAATGGCAGTCAGTTCCCCTCCCAGTGTTAGATTGCCCGCTGCAGTCCCACTATAAGTCGCTGATTGCTGCCATTGCTAGTATAAAAAAGAAAAAAATTCCACCATATATACCGCCATTTGTAAACGCTATAACTTTCACGTAAACCAATTAATATACATATAAGCTGGCCATACATGTATAGATTTTCCTTCAAGAATTTTAGTTTCAAGAATATTCGTTTTGATTTTCAAATCGTTAATTGGGTCAAATCGATGTTTGTTTTTGACCGCAGTGATGGGAAAATTCGAAGGGGCAGGAAGGAAAACGTTTCTCGATCAAACAAATTTTTGGCCAGTATATTATTTAAGGTACTTAGCGCCGTCAATTTACGCAGTGCTTTACATATATATTGTATGTTCACATCAGTCCCTAACCCTCAAGGGGCGTACAATCTAAGGTCCCTAATGCACATTCATACATACACATACTAGGGCCAATTTAGACAGGATCCAATTAACCTACCAGCATGTATTTGGAGTGTGGGAGGAAACCGGAGTACCTGGAGGAAACCCACGCAGGCACAGGGAGAACATGCAAACTCCAGGCAGGTGGTGCTGTGGCTGGGATTCAAACCAGTGACCCTAGTACTGCCAGGTGGAAGTGCTAACCATTTAGCCACTGTGTGTATATGTGGTTATCGTTCATTCATTGCATTCATTTTAAGCTTGAATGTGAAAAGCAAAAGACAATTTTCAAACGACATTCGTCCATTCATGAAATGTTCAAAGAATTTTCATATGACGAATATTCTCATCTGAAAATTTACACGTAGACATGTAGCAGAATACATTTTGGCCTAAATTTATGACCACATTTTATTTTTAAAATTTTTCTATTGGATATGTTTTCTAGCAAAAAGTGGGGAAAATTTTTTTTTTTCCCAAATTGTCTGTTTTTTTTTGTTTATTGCGCAAAAAATAAAAAAAAACCACAGAGGTGATCAAATACCGCTGAAAGAAAGCTCTATTTGAGGGAAAAAAAGAACGTACATTTCATTTATGTACAGCGTTGCATAACCGTGCAATTGTCAGTTAAAGTAATGCAGTGCCGAATTGCAAAAACTGGCCTGATCAGGAAGGGGCGGTAAATATTCTGGAGGGCAAGTGGTTACAAGGCTTTGGATTAAAAAGAACATTTGGTGTGAGATGACATTTGCTAAAGTCAGAGATGTGTGTTTGATGTTACAGATCAGCAATCTGTGAATGCTTCGTTGGAAACTTTACTGGCACTTCTGCAGACTGAAGGAGCCAAGATAGAGGAGGAGACCGAGGTAATGCTACACTGCCAGTCTGTGCCTTGCTGTGCTATGTATATATTTAAAGGAGGGTCATGGTGTTGGGATTGATTTTTGCTGAGGCTTTCCTGTTGTCTATAATCATTGTAAAGAGATCAAGTATTGGCTCAGTTATGATGGCCATGGCCCGTGTGCAGGTGTCCCTATTGGTACATTTCTCTCCTCTGGATTAGCATTTACAATGTTAATTCTTGCAGTTATAAGTGGCCATGTTTTTGCACCAGAGAGACATCCAGCCTTTTTCAGTCCAATACATGCAGCTCCAGTGGAAGACTATTCCATATATCACCGCTGTGACTGTAAAGCATCCTGACTGTATGAGGAGGTTACACCTCTATTTCCCAAGGCAAAGAGTGACCCCCCCCCCCCCTTGTCTTTTTGTGTTAACCTCCCTGGCGGTATTCCCGAGTGTAGCTCGGGGTAAAGTTTCAGTACCACAAGCGGTAACCCCGAGCTACACTCGGGAATACCTTGCAGCGCTCCTCCGGGATCCCTTCTTCACTTACCTTGTCCTTTGCTCCCGCGATGTCCCCCCTGCAGTGTCCCCGGCAATGTCCTCCGGCCAATGCCAGCATCTGTCTTCCGTTCCCTGCAATGTCAGGACATACGGGGGACGGAACAGGCGGGAAAAAGTGACATTCACTAAATACACTAAAATCACATAGTAAAACATTACTGTATCAAACCATTTCACATACATTTTGTCCCGAGTGCTTTGTCCTGTGCCCTGCCTGCATTTTTACTGTTCTTTCTGCCTGGAAACTGAGAAACGTCCATGGCGTCCAAAAAGTGTCCCTTTAGGTTATAAGTGGTTTTAGACCAGCTAGAGAACAGCGATAGTAAATTAGAACTACTTGCAGAATTGAGTGATAATGATTCGTGGGGGAAATTCATCATCAGACACTGAAAACGATTCTGCGACTTTGCTCAGTGATATGCGAACTTGGCGCTCTATTTCAAATTTCAGTGTTTTTGGTTTGATTATATTATTGAATTAAATTTCTTATATTATTTTTTATGATTATTATATTATGATTTATGATTTTGTGTTTCAAATTTTAACATACCCGGGATGTTTACTAGACTCTTGTTCGGACAGATTTCAGTGAGTTATTCCTAAATACAGGCCTACAATAAATTACATATTTCCATGCAAAAAAAAGCACCGCTTTGAGCACTGAAATACTGACATAATCAGACCGCTAGGGAGGTTAATGATAAAATGAACAACTTTCCTCTGCGTTTCCCAAAGAGCATTGTATTTAAACAATGTGAATGCATCACCCTCTAATTAGGATACATAAAGTTCCGTTTTCTCCATGCCCCTTTTATTTACTTGTTTGTTTTTTTTTGTGCTCCTTGCACTTTGACAACATTCTTTTTGTGAACTGGTGTCCAAAACTAAGCTGCACATTTTAGATGAGGTCTTACTAAGGCATGGATAGGGGCATAGAAGAAACCCAGACAAAAAAGCTGCACATTTTTGACCCACTTACCAACATGTCCCTATCTCTTGTTTAAAGGTCCTTTTTAACATGATCTTTCTGATCCACCTGGTCCAGTTTTTCAGGCGGACTTGATCAGAAGCAGTTTGCGGGTCTATGGGCAGGCTGATGGAAACAGACTTTTGTCTGTTTTCACCTGCCTATCTCTGAGTCTGTCCAGGTCTGGAAAATAAATTGGACTGTCCTTTTCATTTTTTCGGACCTAAATATGGCAACTAAAAGGTAGCTTGATGTAGAGACACATCCGGCTTCCTATAGAGCCATGTCTGCTGTGTAAATGCGGGGACAAACTGAATGGGCACCGATCTTAAACTGACATCTGTCCTGCTCATCTCCAATTCAGCAGGCAATCAGCTCAATGATCCCATGCTGAACGGAGTAAACAAAGCCCATGTGATTGGGCCCTAGAAAATAATTTGATTTTGCAGTACCAAGGTACCATAATGGGCGCTCTCTGATTTGTGAATGGAAGTTAGAGGTGGGGTGGCGGGAGCACAGGTTCACTTTTAGTAATGTGATCATTTGTTATAAGCACATGTGTAAACCAGTTCTAACATTTCATTTTCTTCCTGTACAGAACATGGCGGAAAGTTTTCTTGATGGTGGCGTACAGCTGGATTCTTTCATTGATGAATATTTATCAAAACGCAGATTAGCACATTTAAGACGTGTAAAAATTGAGAAACTGCAAGAAATGGTGCTAAAAGGACAGAGACTCCCCCAGGTTTCTGTACTTCCACAGGCGAAGCCATCTGAGAGTATCCAGGCACCTCCTCCAGTGTCCTACCCATCAGGTTTCAGTACCCCGCCAGCCGTCGTTCCAAGAAGAGCTGTCCCACCTCCCCCACCTGCTCAAGCTGTAATGTACCCAACTCCTTTTGCAGTGGCTGCACATCAGCCTGCCCTGGGCTCCCGTATGCAGTGTCTCCAACTCCCCCAATCCCTCCAAGAGTTGGATATCCACCTATAGCCCAGATGCCACAGCCTGGTTACCCCAACCAATTCGCACCTCAGTATCCTCCGGCTCTCCCTCAAAGACCACCTCAGCGTCTCCCTCCTAACCCTGGTTTCATTTTATAGTAATCTAGTCTCTTTGCGCCTCGTTCAAACATTGGTGCTCCCAGTTTCCCCAGTTCTGTGAGCTGGCTATGTATGAAACATGCACATATTGGACCATGCAGCAATCCGCAGGACAATGGTTTCTTTTCAAAGACTGCGCTCTCGTGCTTTTCCCCATTCGAAAGACAGACTTTCTCACTTTTGAATTAGTACTTTGTGGGGTTTGGTTTCAAAGTCTGATTTCATAGGTTTAGGTTGTGAAGCAGATGTGCAAACGGAGTGACACAATTGCTGCACCACTGTGTTGCTTTATTTTTTATCAATGCTGAAGTTATACATGTGAATGCTGCATTGGAATGAATAGTTCTGTTGTGCTGCAGCCATTGGTAATGTTAATCAGCTGGCAGTGCATGAGATTAGATGGCAACAAAAAAATGCACTGGTCCATTGCCAAACTCCTCAGGTTTCCAGCGACCTCCTGTCTCGAGGATCAAGCAGAGTGCTGAACAATGAGGATTGCACTGCATATCTTATACCTGTGATTCTCAGTGTCTCGTACCGTAATCACCCTAACGTTAGGACATTAACAGGATTATTCAGGGATTAGAATGTTACTAAAATCTGTTATGCGCAAATTAAATGCGAAGTGAGTGGATGCAATTTTTTTGTGTGACAGCAATGCATTTTTATAAACTTATGCACGTGGCTTTGATGTGCCTTAGACTAACCGCTTACTCCTGGACTATGAAGAAAAGACTGCATTTATTTTGTTTGAATTGCCCTTTGTTTAGCTTTGATTGCTAGTAAGGGTTTTTTCTGTTGTAAGTTCGCATCTTTTGCTATAATGAAACCTCCAGAAGTGTAAAATAGAATTGGTTCATTTAGCAATGTTCAAAAATCTGCCATTTTATTTATGCAACTGTCATAAAGCTTGGCCTTTTCCTTAAATCTGGCCAATCTTAATTTATAGTTAATGTTGGCATTTTATGTATAATTTTTTTTTCTTTCCGGTGGCAGCACACTAGGATTAAGTGCCACATTTAGATAGATAGTTTTAAGTAGGGTAAAGCCATATAGTAACAGACAAGACTTTTAAAATGGTTGTGGCAAAAGTGAGCTTTGCTACCAGATGTTTTTGTTTTACATTGCACTACCGATGCAGCATAGTCTTCTGTAAAACTGTGCCCACCATAGACTGTTTGTAAATCGGTTCAATCCAGGTGTTTAAAAAAAAAAAAAAAAGCCTTTTATACCAGTTTCTATCATTGGGTTTCTTTACCTGCATTGTAGGTTTATATTGCACCAAATCATGTCCATTTCCATCATGTTTCTTTTTCAAAAGTTTGTACAATAGTATTCATGCTTGGAATAGTCCCTGGATAAGAAACCGAATGGGAACTGAATTAAACTAATGCTCGCTGAGCTCACAATTACGATGGGAAGACAGCTGTAATAACTTGGTCATCCAAAGTTTCTTAGAGGCCCCCAGAACCCTTGTCATAGCTAGAGACACAGCCTAGCTGGTTTTTATTTTTATTTTTTTTTTATTTGGCATTATGCGTGGCACATCAGTTATACCACATATGCACTACCTACTCCTACTTTAAAACCAAAAAGGGTTGTGGTGTCCACTATAGAGGAGACTTCAAGAGCATGTTTTAGTACTAGAGACTCCAATTACTCCATGCAGACACTACTATAGGACATGTTTATAATGTAAAAAGATTCTGTAAAGGTCTACCTGTTGTCATAACTAATACTACAGTTGTTAATTTACCTTGATATTTTCAATAAATTACAAATTTTGGACTTGGATGTTATTTTTTTTGTTCATCTTAATTAGCTCGGAGGGATGGAAATCGCTTAGTGAGCGCAGGTACAATTATTGACTGTTCTGAGGATTCATAAAGTGATATTTGGGAAACATGCACTTTTCATTGTCCAGGGTCACAAAAACACCATCTGTGATCATTTCCAAGCATATTAGCTGATTGGTTGTTAGCATCAATCCAGCCCTACAGCTCATAAAAAATGGAGCCTTTTTCAAATATTTGTGGATATTACAGCATATAATTTTGTGGGTTATATGCATGCTCAAGTGGGGTTATTTTCAGAAAGCAATGTTTCCCTTAACCACCTCCCATCCGGCCCATGTAAAATAAACGGCCGGACGGTGGCAGTGCAGGGTCGGGTGGCCGTTTCTAAACAGCCTCCCCGCCCCCTGCTTGTGCGCGCTCCCTGGGAGCGTGCAGCACTGCGATCCGGTGCCTGCTGTGTCCTCCAGACACAGTGGAACACCGATCGTCGGATGGGACCTCTGTGCAAGGTCCCGATCATATGATCACTGATTGGCCAATCGGTGATCACATGCACAGTAGTAAGCAAGATGTCACTTGTGACATCATTGCTTACTACGTGTGAAATCTGTGAATGATCACAGAGGTCACATGGTACAAGGCTATTCACAACAGCCTTGTACCATGTGACAAGCTGTGACCAATCACAGCTCGCACAGTAGTTCTCAATGGCTGCAAGAATGCAGCCAGAGAGCAGAAATGATTTCTTTTACAGCCTTTATGGGTGTAAAAGTAATCGGTGTAAAAAAAAAAAAAAAAAAAAAAAAAAATTCATCACCCCCCACAAGTAGTACAGTGTCACTATGGTGACACTACTGCTAGGGTGATAGTATGTGGGGGAAAAAAAAAACATAAAAAATATAAAAAAAAAAGTAAAAATGATAATTTTTGGTTATAAACTAATTTTGTTTTTTTTTATTTTGTTTTTACTAAAAAGAGAACAGAATACATTTTGGCCAAGATTTATGATGAAATATTTGCAAAATTTTATAAGCAAAACGCTTTTTTTCAAAATTTTTGGACTTTTTCCTTCACATAGCAAAAAAGATATAAAGCTTTATTTTGGTGGTATTTATTCACCACTGGGATTTTTCTGTCTCAAAAAAAATGCTAAAAAAATAATTCATATGGGTGCAGTGTTGCATGACTGCGCAATTGTGTGATAGTGCTGAAAGCTGAAAATTGGCCTGGACCGGAAGGGGGTGAAAGTGTTCGGACAGGAAGTGGTTAAAAAACAGCCATTTGTCCACTACGGTGGCACACTGAACATTTTCTGGTCATGATTTGTGGACACACAAGCTTTTATGTTTAGGCTGCATTCACACTTATTAACCCTATTCACCGCCAGGCCCTGCTCTCCATTTTCTCATCTCGGGTGACCAGACCGTTTTTGCAATTTTCCACTTAACTGTTTTTTCACTTCCTGCTTTCAGGGTTTGTAGACAGATGGTGGTACATCTGCAGTTGGAGAACACACAAGGCACTGCGTGAAGGCACAAAATCCTTCCTGCAGTGTCAAGACAGCAAGAATCGGAGAAGATGGAGAGAGGTGGACACGTGGTAGAGGGGGGCAATCACATTTGTTATAAATGGCTGTGATCAGTATCTTGTCAACTGCTGATCAGCTATTCATTGTTCAGCAGGCTCTGGGGGACCCTTGTGATGTACGTTCATGGTCACTGAGTCGACCATGAGCTAATAGGATGGAAGGCATACTTAGCTTTGTCCTTGCTTGGGAGGTATTCTATTGGTTATCAGCACAGGACTTGAAAGAACATCTCCCCAATTGGATCCTTTTTTTTTTTTTAGGAATGGTGATTGATGAGTATTTGTGTTGCTAATGTGTGTGTTTATGGCTTTGCTGAAGTTAGATATTAAATTCCTTCTGAAGTACATCTGAAGGTTCTACTGCTTATTGTACTTCAGATCTGCTCGTAATGCAAGTCTATACAGTATATGCTATACACCAATTTGCCATAACATTATGACCACTGACAGGAAAAGTGAATAAAAGTGATTATCTTATGACAATGCCATCAGAAAGTGGGTGGGATTTATTAGGCAACAAGTAAACTTGTTATCTCTAAAGTTGAAAGCAGAAAAAAAGTGCAAGTGTAAACATTTTGAGCGATTTATTTATTATTTATTTATTGAGTTTATATAGCGCCAAAGGGTTTGCTCATTGCTGTACAATAGAGGGGGGGGACACTACATGAAACAGTACAGTAACATCAAACAGCACACGAGGGGTAAGAGGGCCCTACTCTTTCGAGCTTACAATCTAGGAGATTGGATTTATGACAAGGACAAGCTTGTAATGACTAGATGACTGGACAGTGCATCTCCAAAACTAGAAGCAAAAAATACTCAAATACAAAACCCCCCATTTTTGTCCATCAGAGATCTCACAAAGGCTGAAAGCCCCCCCCCCCCCCAAACACACACCTGAGCAGCAACAGAGCCTCTTGTTGGATGTTCTTGGTCTGCAGCAGTCAGGACCTTCCAAAAGTTGTCCAAGAAAGGAAAACTGCCAACAGCATCATGGATGGCCAAGGCTTATTGATGCATGAAGGGAGCAAAGGCTGGCCAGTGTAATCTGATCCAACAGAATAACTACTGCAGGTTACATTTCTGAAACCGTTAATACTAGTTCTGATAGGTGTTGGAATGCACAGTACCTTGCAGTTTGTTGCATATGTGGCAGGATAGCCACAAACCAGTCACAGTGACCATGCCACACAATGGTCACATTAACATAAGAACTGGACCACGGGGGCAATGGAAGATGGTGAAGAAGGTCTTGTAAAGCTGACATATCTTGTTGTGAATTTATTGTGCTGCTTGAAATTGTATTGTAAGCATAAACGATTTAGAGGTTGGATGAAATTAGTTTAAGTGTAAATAAGTGCTTGAATTAGTTAAACAGAATTGTGAACCAGTTAAACAGAAATGGTCCCATGAGAGAGCCCTTTGGCCTCTCAGTTGAGCTTGCCTGAGTAGGCTGTTGCCTGATGACCCAGCCTTCCAGTTTTGGGGCTGTGAGAACTGCGGTTGTCACTTTGAGAATATAATTGAGGTGATGAGAATTCTCCATTGACAAGTTCCTCCTCAATTTCAAGAACAGGTGGTTCCTCCTACATTGTGGGGTCATTTCCTGGGTCAGAT